CCAAAAAACGAAATGTTAGTCTCATCTGACCAGAGTACCTTCTTGCATATGTTTGGGGAGTCTCCCATATGCATTTTGGCAAACAGCAAACTTGTTTGCTTTTTTTTTCTGTAAGAAATTGCTTTTTTCTGGCCACTCTTCCATGAAGGCCAGCTCTGTGGATTGTATGGCTTAAAGTGGTCCTATGGACAAATAATTCAACCTCCGCTGCGGAGCTTTGCAGCTACCTCAGGATTGTCTTTGGTCTCTTTGTTGCCTCTCTGATTGATGCCCACCTTGCCTGGTCCGTGAGTTTTGGTTGGCGGCCCTCTCTTGGCAGGTTTTTTTTGTTGTGCCATATTTTTTTAATGGTGCTGCATGGGATGTTCAAAGTTTCTGATATTTTTTTTATAACCAAACCCTTATCTGTACTTCTCCACAACCTTGTCCCTGACCTGTTTGGAGAGCCCCTTGGTCTTCATGGTGCAGCTTGCTTGGTGGTGCCCCTTGCTCAGTGGTGTTGCAGACCCTGGTGCCTTTCAGAACAGGTGTATATAAACTGTGATCATGTAACACTTAAATTGCACACAGGTGGTCTTTATCTAACTAATTATGTGACTTCTGAAGGTGAAGGTGCACATACACTGCACGATTCTCGTACGAGAATCACGGGAAATCCCATGATCGTACGAGAATCGTGCAGTGTGAATGAAGACGTGCGACCGTTTCTACTGTACGGTCGCACGTCTTTTGTCTAAGGAGCATTCTAGAAAACCCGCCGAAAATCTTACGATTTTCGGCTGGTTTGAATGATGCTCGGGAGACAAATGCGAACGGGCCGGTGTGCGCACGTGCACACTGCCCGTTCAGCATTGCGGTCATCGCAAGCCCGCAAGCCCGCCCCTCGGGGGCGGGCATGCGATGATCGCAAGTACGATCTGCCTGTCCAAGATGGGCAGATCGTACGTTTTTTTAATTACTTTACAACCATCGCAAGACTAAGGTCTTGCGATGGTTGTAAAGTGTATGGCCACCTTAACTAGTTCCACCACATCTTATGTAGGGGCTTCATACATATGCACGCACCACTTTGACGGTTTTTTTTTTTATACGTTGTTAAAACAAGTTACTTTCTTGATTTCACTTCACAATTGTCCATGTAATCCAAATAAAAATCAATTTTATTGCCAGGTAATAATGCAACAAAATAGGAAGAATTTCAGGGAGTGAATACTTTTGTAAGCCACTGTATAAAGCAATGGATGTTGAGAGGTTCCAGTTGTGCAGGTGAGCTGGAGATGTGTATCATTAGCTGATTTTCAGTTCCCCAATATGAATCTTATGTTCCCAAACTTACTAGTAGTAGTATTAACATTTATTTTGGTGTTTCAAACAGTATATCTACGCTAGATATCGCTTATAACATACTTGCCAGCCCTTATGCAGGAACTTTAATATACAGTAATTTATAATTGCTTATGAATGATTTATATTTACTTCTAATGTAGTTTTACTTGTTTTGTGTTAGCCTGGCACCTTATTGCATTTTCACCTGAACTCTGGCAATTGATTCCCATCAACTACCTTACCTCATACAACCTCATATTGCTAGCGTTTGAAGGCTGAGAATTGACAGGACAGCAACTGCTGGACCTCCAATGACTTCTGACATCGAACACAAGCTGAAGTGTCAGGCCCAGACAGAGAAAGTAAAGCTTAATAAAATGGAAAATGTAAATCTTTTATAAGTAAGCCTGCACTGTTGGAACATTTAAATAATGAATATTCAGATTCTTGCATAAACTCATTTGTAAATCTGTCATAAAAATGTAACACAGTAACCTTTATGTCTTAATAAGCACTCTAGGAATCTCCTAATTTAGTAGCGTTGCTAGGTGGCTGCCTTCAGATTCTTATGACAACTTCAGCACTTGAGTCTGTCTTTGGTGTTTGGATGCATCAGTTTTAAGAAAATTATTTTTTTGGCTTCTGAAAAAGGGGCATAGTTGTTATGCTTGTGATAGTGGGTGCCAAATGCTTCTGCACATTTTTAGCACCACAAACTTTTGTCATATGTGTTTTTATGACACAAGTATCAGTACATGCAGTTCCGGGCACTGGGCGGGTAGCTCTTTTCTACATTTAGCCCAGCTTTAGGCAATCAGAGCTAAATGTACAGCAGGGAAGCCGCCACTTTTTTTTTCTGCAGAGATCCCTTGTATGCAGCCTGCAAGTCTGCCATTCTCTATGGGAAGGGGTTTGGAAGGTAGGGGGGTGCATTGAGGAACCTGGCCTTGGGGCAGCACAGAGAGTAAATCCTGCCCTGTCTACAGGTGCACCAGTACCTGCGCGCACTGTGACTCCGTTCACACATAAGAATGGACTCACATCCAGGCGACACCTATTACGTGTCTTTTTGACATGCGTTTTACCCGTGCATATTAAGTTGCGCGTTTTTGTGACCAGATTTTGACACAATCATGTGAATGGGCAAAAATGCACAAAAAAATCACGCTGCACGTTTTTCAACTGTTTTCTATTGAGTCTATGGGACAAAATGCGCTGAAATCTGCCCCAAAGTAGCTCATGTACTATTTCGAACAAATGGCGTATATCAGCTTGCAAACATATTCACAGGTGTGAATGGGGCCATAGAAATGAATGGGATTTCTTGGGTGGAGCGTTTTGTCACGCTGAATCAGCTGCGACAATATGCCTAGGTGTGAATGGAGCCTTAGCGGTTTTCTGCGCAAACGCGATGAACATAAAAAATAATTATTTTCAATGTGTGTTGTTTACGCTAGGGCGACGTCCGCGCATCCCACAAAAAAGTCCAAGTGCGATTTTCTGGGTGGATTCATTCCGCGTGTATGTAAAGGTTTGTGTGTTTCCCGCTGGAAAACGCTACCGCTATGTGTGAGTCGAGCCATGGAGTTCCGGGCAGTAATTTGTTTTCTACATTTAGCTCTGCTTTGCACAAGCAGAGCTAAATGTAGAATAGGAGAATTCACCTGTTTCTTCACAAGTAATCTCGGCGATGTCGCCAAGCTCACTGTAATTAGACTGCCGGTCCGTCCTCCCCCCCCGCCGCCCCCTCCCTCCCCTGCACTTACCTCTCTCCGTGCTGCATCCTCCCGGCTCCGTCCTCGTCGCTGCCGTCTTCAGTATGGAGAGCGGTGAGCAGAGCAGCAGGGTTAAAAGTAACCCTGCAGCTCTGTGTAGACTGTGAGAGGGGAGAGCTGTGCTCTTCCTCTCTCACCGGTCACAGGAGTTCCGGCACAGTGCTGTGCTAGAACTCCTGTATTGGAAGTGACAGGTTCAATAAAGTACAAACAATTATGGACACCGGCACTCCAATTGTAGAATAACATCTATTTATTGACGTCCATGCAAAAATATACTTATTGCAACGTTTCGGGGTAACGCAGGAACCCCTTCATCAGGCAGAACAAGTGAAATTTCATGTGAACAATACAAGTATATAATGTAACCCCGTGACGTCATATTCCCGCCAAAATTCAAATACAGTGCATACTGTTCAAGTGGATACAGTTGCATTAATGTGCTGATTAAACATGGCTCAATAGAAAATTGTTCAGTACTTGAGAAGCATGTTACCTAGTGTAAAGGTGCTCAGACTATCTATCGGAGTAACGGCTAAAATAACACAGCTGTCTATCCTGGAGTGCCGATCGGCAGAATAGGGGGAGTGGTTTGCCGCTGTCTTCAATAAAGAGAATTTGCCATCTCCAAATGCTATCACACAGTGACTTGTTAGCTCCTGCGTGATAGCAATAAAGTTAGGTGAAAAAAATGGATAAAAAAATAATTACATAAAAAATAAAATAAAAAGTAATAATAATTACATTAAAATATAATTATAAATAAAAAATAATAAGATAAAAAATTATTAAAACAAGTAAAAGATGACAAGATGAATACAAATGTAAAAAGTAAAAAAATAAATGAAAAAGTGATAAAGTAAAATAAAGAAAGAAATAAAAAAAAAATTGGCATTCTCTCGGCGTGGGGAGGGGGCATTGCCGAACCCGGCCTTGGGGTGGCAGGGAGGGTAAATCAGGTCCTGAGTGGAGCCTAAAGGTCCTCTGCATCGGAGTGCTTTTTTCTGTGGCAGTTTGCTGATCTGACCTATCAGGCAGGGGTTCACTAGTTTATCAAGCTGCATTGTAGGCTATGGCTGCTCTGTGTTACATCCATACAGAAGCAGCATCATGCTATGGTCAGGATTCACTTATTACTACAGGCCTGGTATGTATACTGCATTTCCAAATGCTTGTAATATAACATTATATACATTCCAGGTAATGTTTAAGCTGTGAATACTTTTCCTTTAAAGGTGAACCAAGTCAGTGGAAAGAAGCTCTCAGTCCCAAGGCACAGCATTAATTTTACCCAAATGTGTGTCCTTTTATCAAAACTTCTGTCCTTTTTATTGAAAATAAGTATGAAACTTCTTCATCTGCCAACCTCATGAGAGTCGTTTCTGCTTCCTGCTTTCTCCCTAATGAGCAGAGCACCCAGGCTTGTTACCACTCTCTTGTAGTTTACACTCTCTTGTAGGGAAGACGGCGCTGATGGACCTACATCAGCACTGCCTGTAGTGGGTGGATCCAGTCTTCAAATCAGTTTGGTCTTGCACCGCCCTTAGTCACTGATTGGCAGCCCATGCATGGGACATGTAGTTCTAAGAGGCACTTGTACATCTCTAGGATGTGATGTACGGATCCTCACAAGACCCTCCTTTTGCCACACAGACCTTGACATCAAACTGTCTTTTTGGGGGTGAGATCACAGCAATAAGAGCTCATATTTGTTAAAGAGGGATGTTTTGATGCAAAAGAGCATTCATACTAGATTGAAGCTTTAATGATCCCAAAACCAAGATAATGGCATGGTACATTATTTAATTCATTCTTTACAGCAGTGGTTGGTAGTGTTTAATCATTTCTTAGCATGTGCATTTATTGTAGATGGATATATACTTTTTTATTTTTCTACAGTTAACATTGAAGAAACACCTGATGATTCGCTTCCTCAGATGCCAACTACCTTCATCGAGTTCATTCACCACAGCTACAAACAAATGGTCAGCATCCTGAAAAAAACTGCAGGCAAGTGCTCCCATATCGCTAAGACGTACACCATCGGACGAAGCTTTGAAGGGAAGGATCTCATGGTGATTGAGTTTTCGACCAAACCAGGCCATCATGAACTATGTGAGTATCATTTTCTTTAAAAGGAAATTATAATAGTTTCAGGCCTATTTTATTTTATTTTATTTAAGTTTATAATATATAATATAATACAGTACATTTGGATATCTATAAAACTATCAGTGGGCATAAATGGGATTTGCAAGCAGTAGTAGTAGGAGACTTAAAATTAAACTGCATGCAAACAGCTAAATACACTGGTGCAGTATTTATAACAAAGCTGTTTTACCTGCCCAAAAATTGTATTTCTGTTTATCAAGTCCTGATATTTACACAACCCTGCCACACATCATAGCCCTGTCTGGTAGAGAAATAGACTTGATTTTTTTTTTCTATTGCAGTTAAATAACATTTACAGGTTCTGACCACTGCAGACTAGGAACCTCCCACAAGAGCTGCAGTTTTGGAGTAGCTCTGACCCAGTCATCTAGCCATCACAATTTGACCCTTGTCAAAGTCACTCAAATCCTTACGCTTGCCCATTTTTTCTTCTTCCAACACCTCAACTTCAGGGACAAAATGTTCACTTGCTGCCTAATATATCCCACCCACTTTCATGTGGGGACAATAGAGAGGGTTTAAGAAATTGTTTTCTTATACACTGAGTGGCCAGATTATTATGTCCACCCCATCAGTACATCGTTGGGCCACGAGATGACTCCACGAGATGACTTCTTTGGACCGCCTGGTGAATCCACGAGATGTTGAAAGGTGATGCAAGGAATCTGACACTGGAATCTGACTGTACCAGTCTTGCCACTCTCTGTTCTGCCCTAACATTGACTAGTCGCTGACGGCCACAATTCGCACTTTCAGACCCAGATATTCGGCTGACAGTCCAGTGTTTAAACACTTTAACAACAGCTGCTCTTGAACATTTAACAAATTCTGCTGCTTTGCTGATACTCGCTCCATGGCACGAGCGCCCACAATCATCCCACGTTCAAAGGCTGTTAAATCTGGCCCTTTCTAGCAACTTCAGCACGAAATTATAGCTAATTATGGCTAATTTGCCTGCAAACGTCAGGTGGTCATAATAATCTGGCCACTCAGTGTATATGTGAATAACCTTCTTCTTTTGGGCAATGCCAGGTTTTGGAAGGACTGTAAGTGAATTCCCCATTTACTGGGTATTTTAATCAATCACTGGTCTTTGCTGATAAATTATGCCATAGATTTGTGTTAGCATAATTCTATCCATTCACAGTTCACAATTAAACTCTTCCCAAATAGTTTAAAAGTTACTATTCACAATTTAAAAAAAGTCCCCATGTAGAGTGCCCTGAGGGGTCTGCACAAAGAAATGGCCTTCGAAGTTTGTGGGCAGCGTTACCCTTACAGGTCATTCACACTAGCAGCATTGAGCTGTGTTGTCCAACATGGTCTTAATACAAGGACAGTGGCCCTAATTCCTATTGTCTCTGTTCACACTAATGCACTACATAAAATAGAAAATGCTGCAATTTGTTCGCATTGCAGCCCATAGTAGAAGAAGACAAGTCAGAAAAAGGGTTAAACAAGCAATTGCTACACATTGGCAAAAAAAATTTGCCATGCAGCATGGCATATCACATGCACAATGGTTTGAACAGGGCATTAGGATTCAGATATTATTTTCTAGTACTTATTGCTTTTGTGTTACTGAACTGTATAATATGAGTTTATTCCACTTATAAAATAACAGACCAATTTGTTAAACTTTCAATTGTTTCTACAGTGAAGCCAGAATTCCGTTACATTGGTAACATGCATGGAAATGAAGTGGTTGGCAGGGAGCTATTGATCTATCTTGCCCAGTATTTGTGCTCTGAATATATCCTTGGCAATCCCAGGATCCAGACATTAATCAACACTACAAGGATCCACCTGTTTCCTTCAATGAACCCAGATGGCTATGATTTAGCATCCGAAGAGGTAAAACTAATTCATACTGTTGGCATTTAGTATTCACAATACTGTGGGTATCCTCTAGACCCTTGGTTCTCAACTGGTGGGTCATGACCGAAAAAGTGGTTGCGACCCCATCTTCAGTGTGTCGCCACATGCCTTCTACTTTTCTAGGTGAGAGGCTCCTCAGCCTCCCCCTAGCACTGTCAGTTCTTGCGCCGAGCAGCCATTCAAAATATGTTGCCTGATGCTGAGTGTCAGCTTGTGGTGGGGTGGGCTAGGGCTGTGGCTGCTAGGAAGCTCCATCCATATGTGGATGGCTTACAGCTCCCTTGAGTGTCCTGTAGAAGTGCCTGGACCGGAGTGATGTCACATTCTGGCTTCCGGCACCTCTACAGTGTGTGCAAGGGAGCTGTACAAGTGGATGCACATATGGATTAAGCGCCGTCATAACACAGGCTGAGGATCCACTCCAGTTCTCGTACGGTAGGAGACTGGATGGATTTAAAACATTTTTTTTTCCAAGTGTATATGTTTGTGTGAAAATAGCTGTGAGATTGTGTCTGTGGTTGTGTGTGTCTGTCAGTGTTTTTGAGGACCCATTCATACTAGTACAGTGTGTTAATCGCACAGTCCCATGCGATTAACGTACTGTACCACGCAATCGCACCTACCGCACGTTCTTGTGTGGGAGGTGCAGTGAATTGCCATCCATTTAAATGACACCCCAAATGCATCTTCCACCCACAGTTCTATTGACCGCATCGGAACGAGCGGTACCGCAATGTTGTGCGTTCCATTGCAGTGCAACTTCGATCACAACTTAATGACCAAGGTCAAATGTGGATCCTGAGGTTGCACAGGTTGAAAACCTCTGCTCTACCTTCCCCAATTGCCAGTATATCTCTAGGTGATTTATAAATTATTTATTAAATGTCATCAGAGCTAAATCATTCATTCTGAATCACCTATATAACTTCATAAAGTGCATTGTATTTCTCATAATTAGGGATGAACTTTGGGTTCAGGTCAAAAGTGAGTTCAGCCCAAACCCGCCTGTTTGCAGATTGGCCACATACCAAACAAAATGGCCATATTTATGAATGGCTGCCTGTTTTTTGCAAAGGAAGCAGCCATGGATCCTGAGCACCGCCGTTGACCAAATATGGTCATTACCAGTCCACATGACTGTTAACATTGAGCGGTACCTTTCAAGGGGAGCGGCCTTCACCCTCGGAAGGCACCTTGTCCTCATATTGAGGAGACAAGGCCTCATCCCTACATCCTGTCCCCAGGAGGATGTTTGTGTGTGGGAAGAGGGGGGGGGGGGGGGGGAGGGGGAAAAATGTG